AGAAGCTACTGTCATGAATTTGGTATTCCACCTCCTATCCATGTTTTATACCTTTAAAATATATATACCACAAATAGCATTCTTGTGTATGCTTTTAAAATTGTATATAAACGATATTATTTTTCTTTCTGCACTTTTTTTCCTTTGAGCCCACATTTGAGGTCTATAGTGTTAATCCATATTTACCTAGTTCATTCATTTTCATTGTTATAATTGTATTCAATCAAATGATGGGAGAATGGTGTTCAAAATTTTAACAACTAGCATGGCTCTGGCACCAACAGTACAATGGGTTTTCATCATAAACAATAGCACTTTTGGGTAGCTGTGCATACCTAAGTGCACCTGTGGATACCTGGCTGAATACCAAACCACCTTCCACATGTTATTTACCCATTCCATTATTATAAAATTTAGATCGTTTTTATTTTTTTACTATTATAAACAATATGCAAGAAACATCCTTGTAGCCATCTCTTCATGCATATCTCTAAGAACTTCTCTAGGATATATATTTAGTAGTAGCATTGAGAGGTGGTCTGCTACATATATATTCTGTTTTATTTTTCTTGTTGTATCAGAATTGTGGGTAAGGCATAAAGCTGAGACAAAAGATGTTAACTACCCTACATTCCATATAACCACCACGATGTCATAGAAGTTGTGACCAGCTACCTCCCAGGAAGGCATAGTAAGAGGCATCAATGCTGAGAATAGGTCTTTTCTCCAACTGCTCCCACCTGGGGTCCACCTAAGTGAGAAGAGGAAGAGAAGAGGACATCTTTCAGAGAATACCAAGTTCACAAAGAAAGGCTTTCTCTCTCTTCACACTTCTACAATATCTACCATGAAAGCCAAGGAAAGAGGACCAAAGATAATCAACGATGAAGGTATTCTGAGCATCTATCAGAATCACTCACTCTCCTTCCCTTCCACACACAAACAAAGTCAGTTTGATGGTCCTCTCTTATGGAAACTGGAGGAGGGCTTGAACTTGCAGAGCACCTAATACTGCCAGGTGTTCAGAGAAAGGGACAGGAGAGAGGAGGCAGGACTGAGAAAGAGGCAGTGGGTGTTCCTACCATGTGGCATGACAAAGATACCACTGCTGGTCTGCACCCATATGGGGTGGCTGTGCTTGGGCCATCTTTGTGGTACTCTCGTGAAAGTACTCTCTTCTGGTGGAAGGTCATGCTCTATGGAGAGACCAAGGAAGGGTGGAAGAAGTGCAGGCAGACTCAGTCCCAGGTCAGACAACTACTCAGGGCACATATCTTCAGGAAGCCTTTTAAAGAATCCACACATATGCCCCATGAAAGCCCAACATTTGGATCCTGCTCATTGCTGTGGGTCAGAGAAGCAGCAAAAACCACAGAGATAAGTCTATTGAGAGAAGACTGCTCCCTCACCCAATCAGGCCATTTTCCTTTTCTTCTTCCCCATCCAACTCGAGAGGGAGGAAGAAGAGAGAGGGGAAGGTGGTATCTGAGCGTTGCTGTGACCCCACGCGATCGCTTCTTCTGAGAAAGGGGGAATAGAGCTTTGCATTGAAACAAGCAGGACTGAATTTTAAACACATCAAAGAGAATATTCCAATCAGCAAAAATAGCCAAAAGTGGGAGAAATTGACCAAAGGACATTAAGGGAGTCTGTTCCTCAGCTGGCAGGGAGGCTCACCATAGTATAGTGGGACATTTGTCAGACAGAATAAAATCTTGTCATGTTTATAACCCAATGAGACTAGACTGCTCAATAAACTAGTGAAATGCAATACGCTAGCAGTAATGGGAACAGCCAAGGTGCTTTCCAAGAGGGGAACTAATTTGTATTCCCCCCAACAGGGACTAAGAGCTCCGTTGCCAATCTTAAGGGTGTGTCATGGTAGCTGTGTTGCTTCTACAGTTTGTGTCTTCTTTTCATTCATAAAAGTCATCATTTTGAGGGGAAAAAAAAAGTTTTGACTAAAGGCCAAGAAAATTGTCCAAAGAGTCATCACTATATAAATGTGTTCATTTTCATGTTCGCAAAGAGAAATTAGCTAGCTCCCAAATACCAACGATGAAGTAGCCACGTAAAGTGAGTTCAGTTATTTTCCCGTCATTAGCTGAAGTCCTGGCTTCAGCTGGGCCCTTAAAAGCTCTTCCTCCCTTCCTCCCTCCCTCTCTGCTTCCCACCTGGTATGGTCAGAGGCAACTGTGATATGAGCCTGGGGCCCTGGGAGGCCCAGAGGCTCAGGAAACCAGACCAGGCTCTACCTCTGGCCTTTTGTTGGGAAGCCTCTTGCTCAGGTCCCCTGCTCTCAATTTTCGTTTGTCTCTCTCCGGTCTTGTGTCTCAGTCAGTGCCTAGCTTCTTCATATGGATAGCCTAATTTTCAACTTTAAATTTGCCTCCACGAGGATGGCTCATCGCTGCAGCCCGGGTCTACTTCTTGCCTCTTCTCTTCCTTCGCCAAACCCCACAGTCCAGCCTCCTGGGATCTCGTGGCTGGGAATGGGGGAGGTGAGGCAGGCTGACACACCTTGAATCCACCAGAAGGGAATTTGAACACACCCTGCATGCAATGCCCTGCAGTTTATTATTAATTTAAATGGATAGGCTTGCAGGCTAATTGTTCTCCTACCACCCTTGGCTGACAGAGTGTATAAAAGGAATGGCCCTTGAAGGTAAAAGAGCATTACAGCTGGATTTAAGGAATAATGCATCTCTCACACACCTGCACAAGTTGCAGTTTGATGAAAATTACCGTCAAACCTTGTGTTGTAAACTGCTGTTTACTGGAGAAAAGAAAAAAAAAATCTGTAAGATATAGAAATAGTATTTGAGACAACCTGGCAGGGTGCTTGGGATCGTTATGATGTGCACAGGATTCCATGACAATGACGGATAACCTCGGGAACAACTGAGCGAGGCCTTTTGTTTATCTTCACTTGCCTTTGCATTTATGTCATGTCTTTCACTTGGGGATAGATTTCGCCTTGGAAAAGTTAAAATGATTTTTAACTCAAAAAAGAAGTTTACTGGGTTTTTCATGAACTTGTTTCTCGTGTTCCCTTCCCCCACTTCTCCTGCCCTCCCTCCCAGCTGTCTCCCTTCCTGCCACCTGGGGTGTGTCAGTTCTGAGTGCCAGATGCAAAATGATTAAGCCCGTGCAGTTCCCCAAATTGAACTTGTTATTGATTAGTACTTCCTAAATCAAACAGAATTGCTGATCACTATTGCAGGGCAATGCTTGGGATTCAAGTATTGCTAAAGTGTTTGAGCCTGGGCAGGCAGAGGGGGCTTTTTGAGGTGTTCTCCCCCAGCACCCCTAAGGATGGCTATTGCCTGCAAGGAAGAAGAATAGCAACTTTCATCGCCAATTCATGTTTCTTAAGCACCGACTGGGTGTGTGGCAGTGTGCAGTCACAGAGGGGATTTGACAATTAGCAGGAGCTGCTGTCTTTACTCTCCTTAGCTGTGATAATTAATGCCTTAGGACATTTTTATGAGTTGGTATGTGCCTGGCACATGACACACAGTACTGAGCACGTCAATTACATATGACCCTTTTAAAAGAATGGAGAACACAACAAAGAAGCTGTTTTGTCCATTTGGCTTGTAGGTCCTCTAAC